AGCTCAGGGACAGTGCCTAGGCTTTGAGTTCAAGTCCCAGGACAGGTGAGTGCGTGCACACATACGCACATGCACCCACACACACACACACATACACAGAGTCAGGGAGTAGTCAAATTGATATTTGTTGTTATCCCCCTTTGAACAAATGAATTTTAAAATAAAATGAGGAACGTTAAGTATAAAGAAAAAAATCTTTGTCCACAGCCCCAATTATTTCTCATGTGCTCCCACCTAGTGTTCCTCCAGTAATGAAACTAGCATCACAACAGTCAACAATGTCTAAGCTGGAGCTGTTAACTACACCTTGGCCTTCCCACTACAGTGTGCTCACTATCCACCTCCAGTCTGCAGAGCAGGGAACTGAACCTCGGTGTGCTAAAGCCCCACCCACTAGGGAATGCACTGCTGAGAGTTTGGGACATGTCCTTCTAGGTTTTTGTCAATGAATCTCTGTATACATTTGGGTACTTAGGCAAACAGAGAATGTTGCTGCTTTGTTTCATTACAAAAACATATGCAGCAAGGTGCCAGTGGCTCACACCTGCAATCCTAGGCAATCAACAGGCTCACATCTGAAGGATCTTGGTTCAAAGCCAGCCCAGGTAGAAAACTTCTCTAGACTCCATCTCCAAAATAACAAGCAAAATGCTAGGCTGGAGGTGAGGCATGATTTAAGTGGCAGAGTGCCAACTCTGATTAAGAAATCCAAGTGAGAATGCAAGGCCTTGAGTTCAAGCCTTGGTACTAGCAAGAACAAAAACAGAAATCTTAAGTGGATCATGCTATATACTCATTTCTGCAATCTGCAAGATTTTTCCATGATTGTTCATATAATTCCTCCCTTCCTTCTTTCTTTCCCTTTTTTCCTTACCCCCCTTCCCCTCTTTTCCTTCTTCCTATAACGTTTGGTGATACTGGTATTTAATTTCAGGACCTTCTCCTTGCTAGACAAGCACTCTACCTCTTGAGCCACACATCCAGCCTTAACTCATCCTTTTTAAAGGTTGCCTAAGTGGTGCAGCTTTATTGCTGCCATACGGGCTTGAGGGCTGATGAAGTCGTACACCACGTAGAATCTCACATAAGCGTCCTCACACACTGGGCACTTGCTTGAAGGTACAAATGAAGACCACAGCTCTTCACATTCAGACTTTCACTGACGTGGCTGAACGCTCCTCCAATGCATTTACCATGAGCATGCGAATACATACTTTTCTACAACTATGCCAAAACTATGGGAGATAAATGGAACCTTGTGCGAATTGGCTTTTCCTGAATTATAATAAAAATTGTATGAGGCAACACTACCCAAATGGTAATTAAACAATACAAATACAGTGAGTTAAAACTAAGGTAGCAGGAAAAGGGTTGTGCACTTTGCTTTATTTACAAATACCCATCTGGGCAACCCTTTTCTGTCTTTGGACCCAGCAACAGGCTCCTTCTTTTCATAAGGAGCCAGTGATTGCCTTGTGGTTCCACTCACTCTTCCCTCTGTAGCCCAGGTTCCCTCAGATGTGGTTTTGTTTCTCTCTGTGAAGTGAATGTAAAGACCTAAAGACCTTGTGAACTTATCTGAATGTAGAAATGGGTGGAACTAAGCAGCAAGCTTTTAGAAATTTGTCTTCATGGACTTTCCATAGCTTCAATTTTCACAGGCATAGCTATTTTTACCTGGGTGAAGATACATCGGTTTGCATATTCTTTAAATTACCTAATTTACCAAGTTGTAAGACACCATCAGCTCTTGGAAATCACCAAATTAACTGACTAAAACACGTGGGTATTTTAGAGAGTAGCCCAGAAACCACCTAGAGGAGAGGGCACTGAGCTGCAGTATCTGAAACAGAGAGAGAGAGAGAGAGAGAGAGAGAGACAGAGACAGAGAGACAGAGACAGAGACAGAGAGACAGACAGAGAGAGAGAGAGAGGGAGAGAGGGAGAGGGAGAGGAAAACAGAGTGAGAAAGGCAGAGGGGGAGTGGTTGGTTAAGATATTATGTACCAGGTTAGTGATGTGAAACATAATTCTATATGCTTCCCATCCAATATGCTGCCCCATGAACCATGTTCCCTAAAATACTACCTTTTACCTTTTTCTTGTTCACTTGATTGATTTTCTTTATTATTATCTTTAAGTAGTTGCACAAAGCAGTTGCAATTCAGCACCGCAGATTATGAGTATAATGTATCTTAATCAGAGTTATCCCTTCCAACACTCACCTCCTCTCAACCTATACTCATTCCCTCATAATTGTTGCAACCACTATGGAAGGCAGTTTGGACATTCTTTAAAAAACTAAACATAGAACTATCCAATAATCCAGAGATATCACTCTTGGGCATTTATCCAAAAGATTATAAGTCAGGATACAGTAAAGACACATGCACAACTATGTGCATTTCAGTATTCACAATAGCTAAGAATGGAAACATCTTAGATGCCCTGAAATGGATGAGTAGCTCAAGAACATGTAGTATGTGACATATATATATTTATATATATATAAATATATGCACATACATATACAACTATATGCACATATATACACACACATACACACAATGGAATTTAACTCATTTCTTAGGAAGAATAATATGACATTTTCAGGAAAATAGATGGAACTGGAAAAATTACATTGAGTAAAGTCAGGCTCAGAGAGACAAAGGACATATTTTTCTCTCATATGTGTTCTCTTTCACGGATCTACATTATAAACATATAAGAAAAACTATATAGGGTCATATTCAGATATATAGAAACAAATTGGCCAAAGTATGGTATAATCAGAGGAGGATTCTGATTATGTAATTCCTATGAATAATGAACTTACAGTTCAACAAAATGAGTACTAAGAAGATTTTTCCTTAATTATTTACAGATGCACTTTATAAATCTCAGACACTAATCCTTTGCCTTTCATTCATCATAAATATAACCCCTAGCCTTTACCTATCCAGGGTCTATTTCTTGTAGTCATCTGTCTTATGTAACTACTTAGTTATTATGCAATGAAAGAAAGTTTATTTATAGCTTTTCCTAAGAAGTGAAACACATCTCCCCAATATTTTCTGCTAGTGTTTTTAACAATTTTTTCCCCTAGGTTATGGATGAACTTGAAATACAGAAGTTTCTGATATCTCACCAAAATGCTAAGTCTAGACATGGAGACACTGGGTTTCAAATGGAAATTTATGATGTAGAATCCTTGTGAGCATAAACAAATACCCATGCTGCTGGGCACCACCTTCCTTAAGAAGGATTAGAAGCTGAGAGAAGCAAAGAGAACACATGGATGTTAAACCACGATGAAAACTGGGACAAATGCTTGTCTTTGAATGGAGAGAACATAAAAGATGAAGGTATGACTCAGCCTAGAACTCCACACAATCTCCTCTACCCACAGAAACTATGGTCAAATCCTCAAGTGCATGGAAAGCTCAGCATTTACTGAGCATCTATGAGGAACATGCACTGCTACATGCTAGACACAACTGCAAGCCCCAAAGGGTACATTTTTAACCTGTGAGCTTACAGTGTAAGAGAATCCACTTTAAATGAATTATTCAGTTTTGCTGAGACAGGGATGCTGAGTAGTCTACAGGAAAACACAAATGTAATCCAAGAGAATGAAGAAGTGACAGTGTGGGTGGCTGGAGAGACTTCTCTCAAAGACAATGAATCTACAGTACCCAAACTAGTAAGTAAGCAAGCCAAAAGAAAGGTATGGAGTATGTGCAGGAAGGCACGTCCCGCTTTGGGCAAACCACCTTTCCAGTCGTTGGCCTGGCAACATTTGGAGCCTTAAAATCTAGTACAATTGGAGGGGTGGGGCATGAAGCTCCTACACTCATCCATATTCACATTCTCCTTACGCCTCTTCTTCTCTTTCCTGGTACTCCTCAAACAGGGATACATGCTTTAATGGATTATATTCTTTGTGTTCTATCTGTTACTTCTGCTTGGGGTACCCATCTTCCTTCCATACTTCAAGACCCATCGAAGACTCAGCTCTTGCATAAAGCAGGTCCTAATCCCAGCAGACATGATCTTTGACTCCTCTGAATATCTGTAGCAATGTCTGCTTCTTTTCCCTCTTTTTTCCCTCCTGTTCATATAATCACTAACAATTATTTTTATAGAGGTAGAATAATAGAGTGGAGCATGCATATTGATTCATATTAAGGGAAAAAGTTTTTAATTTATTTCATATCATGACAATTCTCACATTGACACAAAATCTATAATCCCAACTGGGTACTGGTGGCTCATGCCAGTAATCCTAGTTACTCCAGTGGTTGAGATCTGAGGATTGAGGTTCAAAGCTAGCTTGGACAGACAAAATTGTGATTCTCTTATCTCCAATTAACCACCAAAAAACTGGATGTACCCTGCAGCTCAAGTGGTAGAGAGAGGGCCAGCCTTGAGCGAAAAAGCTGAGTAAGAGCATGAGGCCCTGAGTTCATGCCTCAGTATGGACACACACAAACACAAAACAAAACAACAACAACAAACAAACCCCGCAAGCCTTTCCAGAAGTGAAAAGTCTCTGGACACCTACCTTAGCAAGACATGATTTTCCTTCGGGAGACAACTTTCTTAATCACATTACACATCCAGAGTAATAAAATTTTACCATTTATCTTGTCTAGGATAGGGGTTAAAAGACATGGAGAGAAAACAACAACAAAAAAACTTCCATCCATAAATCTCAATCCTACACCACTCATCTTCCCCCTTTAATTTAGTTCTTTGAAGACATTACTAATTTTGCTGTATGTTCCCTGGAGCATTCCTTATCAAGATTAAAAAGGGGCTTATTCAAGACAAACAGGATATAGGGAGTAATGGTTTAGCTTACAGGCGGGCTATAAATAGACACAACATTTTCCAGAAATCGTGAGCCAGTATGTGAGTTGCAGCTTAAATGTACAGTGCAGATTTTATTACAACGACGTCAACTAAAGTCATCGTTACAGAGTAAATTCAACTCTTACCAAGTTTTCTTGGTTCCTGGCTGCTATTTTCTGCTCCTCTTCTGCCCCATTTTTCATGTATTTGACCTCTTCCACTGGTTTGATCCTATATTCGTCTGTATGCCAAAAAAAGAAAAGATATCTTACAATTTTTTCCCCACAATCATAGAAAACTGCCAGTGAGTAAAGTCCAATGGCTTCCCTCTGGCCCTTCTATATGGATTCTCTGGAACAATCTGGAAAAAGCTCAATCAAGATTCTTGAATCTGCTCTGTCTACTGGATGGACTCAGCATCCTGAACACAGACATGAGTTCTTTGCATAGTCCCTCCACAGAGAGCAAGCAAACAAAGAAAACAGGCAAATCTGTCTTAAGACTGTTTTAAATCTATACACACAGAGACACACTGACCCAAGAAGGAAAAGAATATTCGTACTTCTCCTCAAGAGAAGACTAGTGTAAAAGGCCTGGAATGGCAATTTTCAAGTGGCATGTTTACACCTTAATTTCTTTCTTATGTGAAAACAGAGTACTGTTTAGGACTAAGGAGTTGTACTGTTAAATAAATATAAACAATTGGGAAGTGAAATTTTCCTATGACCTGCATATTTAATCTTTGAGCAGTATGGAGTTACTACAAATACACTGTCCATTTATTTACACATGCATACTTATTTAATTTAAAGTCAAATACACAAAAAGCCATAATATGAACCAGATCAAATAGGGTATTACTGAAAGCTGTTGAGTGTAGACAGTCACAGATGGATCCATACTTCCCATCAACCAGCAAGGCTATAAATTTCCAATGTCAATAGCTATTCCAGGTCAAATTCAGGAAAACATCAGCTGGAGTTTTCCTTCAGGTCAGAGGACAGAGGACAGAGGTGATGATTACAATGACATTTTTATCAGATTTGTGTCAACAGGAAATGACTTGGACTCCAAAGTTCAACAACAGAGTGACTTTGAGACATTTCTGTTGTCGTTTTTTTGTTTTTATTCAGTCATGGGCTTGAACTAAGGGCCTAGGTGCTGTCCTTGAGCTATTTTGCTCAAGGCTAGCACTCTACCTTAAATACTAAGCTACAGTGCCACTTCCAGCTTTCTGATAACTAATCAGAGATAAGGGTCTCATGGATTTTCTTGCCTAGGCTGGCTACGAACCACAGATCTCAGTAGCTAGGATTACAGGTATGAGCCACCAGCACCTGGTGCAATTTGAAGGAACAAAAATCATACAGATTATGGAATCAAAAAAATGCATCAACAAACCGATGCTTGCTTGCTTGGCAGATGGTATGTGGTAACACATAACTAGGAAAAACAGCTGTCTATCATGAAGGGAGTTCGTATTTCACAGTTTAGGAAGCTGTGATATATGTTCTTATTGAATTAATTGGGTACAATTAACTACCTTCTTAGCAACTTCCTGTTTTATTATTTTTCTTTCTTTTTTTTCTCTTTTGTTCCCTCCCTCTCTCTTTGTCTCTCATCCTTTTATTATTTTGGTATGTGCTGGTATTGGGACTTGAACTCAAGGCCTGGGTCCTGACCCTTACTTGGCTTTTTTGCTCAAGGCTAAAACACTACTACTGGACCCACGCTCCATTTCCAGCTTTTTTGGGCTTTCCTACATGGCTAGCTTTGAACCTCAGTCCTTAGATCACAGCCTTCTGAATAGCTAGGATTATAGTTGTGAGCCACCGGCACCTGGCTCTGTTTTAGTATTTCTAATACCACTTTTTCATGTTATTTTAGGTTTTCTAATGCACTCTTTAAGACACTACCCTCAAGACAGTTAATTTTTTTTCTTTTTAGTGTGAAAATACTGTACAGAGGGGTTACAATTACAGGGGCAAGATAATGAATATATTTCTTATCAAGCATTGTAGCCTCCTCCTTTGTTTCCCCTTCCCATCCCTTCCCATCCTCCTCCCCACCCCCCCCACCCAAGCCTCCCCTTCTCCTCTCCCTCCCCTCACCAAAGTTGTAAAGTTCCTTTTTCAACATAACAACTTGTACATCTCATTGTTGCAATGGATCCACCTGTATCCCTATTTAAATGATTTGTTTTTTCCCTTCCCCTCTACAAATTATACCTCAAATACAGTGAAAGCAGGGGTTATACCATGGGGGAGGGACATACAAAGCAACAAAGAAATCATCTTATAAATGTGTTAGAAACAATCACCTTCAAGACAGTTATTATAGAAACATTTTTCCAAGTAATTATGCTGGCCCAAGGTTTCTCAGAACTGTCATTCTTGTGAAGCTGATCTATTTACATCGATCTGCATACGAACTCCATGCTCACAGCAAAACCACCTGTTTGTTCTACCTCACAATTCAAGGTAGATATGAATTCTGTCTCTTTCTACAGAAATTGAAGAGACTGGTGTGAAGTTATAGTACTGAATGGTCTAGGGATTTTAAGTCCTAAATGTCTTCAGAGGTTAATCAATGACTTGTGATTCATAAGTACAATTTCAAAGAATTTCACAGGCAACTATGAGTGGTGCATGTTGGAATCCAGCACTCAGAAGACAGAGGCAGTAGGATCTCAAGTTCAAGGCCAGTCTGGACAACATAGCAAGATTCAGTGTCAAACAAACAAATGAAATGAGGATTTGGCTGGGTTTGAGAAAGATGTGGAGTAGAATGGAAGGGATGGCACTGATCAGGATGCACTATACTTATGATTGTTGAATTGAAATCCTTGTATACAGATATTTAAGAATACTTTCTAAGAAGTGAGTATGAACATCCTGTAGAAATAAAAAAAAATTACATTCTAGTTTGGCATCCAGAAAACAAATTATTGACACAATTAAGAATTATTTACTGAAAACCACATAAAGAGAAACAATTGTCAGTTTTAAAAGACATAAATTATAAGGTCTCCAATGTAATCAACAAAAAAGACAAATAAAAATAAAAGCGAGTAACTGAAAACAACCCTTAATATTTAACTGATCTGAATTGTGACATATGTGTCACATACATAATATATAAAAATCTGTCATATATATGATATATAATGATACAGATAAATTACAGTTCCAGTACAGTCTATGGCTCTATCTACATGACTCAAATAATAGGATAGGGAAGAGCATACATGTTCAGACCTAAGCAGGAAATTCTGAAAATCACAGCTGGCTCTTCACATCTTACATAGCAAAAGGTGTGTCCTAGAAAGGGCCATCCTTTCCTTCTCATTGTCCTATCATTTACCATGCCACAGTTCAGTGCAAACACACAGAACAGTCTGGCAATATCCAACCTTCATTTTCCCATCCCTCCAGAGCACCACTAAGTTAAAACTATTAATATTTCTCTCATGTTCTTTTCCAAGGAAATGGCAAAGCCTGGTAATACGACTTTCAAAGTAGCATTATTCCAAACACAGGTTTTATCCTTTCTTTCTTTCCAACAAGCCAAAAATCTCCAACAATTTAGGAAACAGACAGGTTTTAATGCATCATTAGCCATCCCCACTGGCTAGTTAAGATGATGCTAAAAGAACACAATATGATTGTATACAAAGAGAGAAGGAAGGCCTTGATCTGAAGAGCTCAGGGACAGCTCCCAGGCCCAGAGTTCAAGCCCCATGACTGACCAAAAAAAAAAAGGGGAGGGGAGGGGAGGGGAGGGGAGGGGAGGGGAGGGGAGGGGAGGGGAGGGAAGGGAAGGGAAGGGAAGGAAAGGAAAGGAAAGCAGAGGGGAGGGGGAGAGGAGGAGGGGAGGGAAGGGGAGGGGAGGGGAGGGGAGGGGAGGGGAGGGGAGGGGAGGGGAGGGAAGGGAAGGGAAGGGAAGGGAAGGGAAGGGAAGGGAAGGGAAGGACGGCAGGCAGGCAAGCCAGACAGAAAGAAAGGAAGAAAGGAAAAAAGAAAGATATCCAAGATGACAACGCCAGACCAGTCATTGCAACTTACAATCACTCCACACAAAATCTATCATGATATAAAGCAAAAAATGCCAGCGAGATGCTTAGAGAAGCCACAATTTGGACAAAGCAGATACTTAAAGAACAATCTATCAAATTTCACCAAGGCTGGTGCTGGGATGAAAATGTCCATTTGCAAACAGATAATTCATCAACAAATGTACCACACATTGCCATGGCAATGCAGCCGTCAGGGACAGCTCTCCTCGACAGACCTCTGCCAGGACAAATGCAGCCTTTTGGGTCATGACAGTGAGACTGAAATCCAGATTTCCTTTTGTGGAAGGCTCAGGGGAATTTATTTGGGACTAAAGCCCCCTTTTTATCAGAGCCACAGTAGAGGCAGTGAGGACAGCCACTGTTACCAGCCAGAGAATCCTGGCAGGGGATCAATGTGCCAATTTGATTAAGAAGGGAGAGAAACAGGACCATCTTCCTCACGCTTCTGCACACCTGTTCACCAGTTTTCTCTTCTTCCTGTTCATCTTGCCAGGTGGCTTATTGAAATGCACATCATGAACAGGAGGCTGCTTCTCCATCCCTCTGTGTAAACAGTTGCAGGCTGTGCTAGTCAAAATAGGTCTGGGGGAAAAGCAATGTCTTGGTGACATTTTTTAGAATTTCATCTTGAGATTATAATAGAGGGGCTGGGATTTTTAATTTTATTATTTTTTTCAGCAGTCATTAATCAAAAGGAGACTTGGCTGGAAGGTGTCAAAGTAGATTTAGATTTTGGCTGTTTGGAAAAACAACTGTAAGTAAGATCTCTTGTTATCCTCCATTAGCATGTAGAGTTCTCTGCCTTCCTGCATCTAACAGGTACATTTGTGAAAATTCCTGGCTTTGTAAGAACCCTGATATAAACTCTCTAGCCCATTAAAAGTTATCAGTTTTATTAATTTTGAAGGCAAAGTTGTAGCAGGTTTTCTATGTGCAATGCCTGGGAGAGAAGATGGATTCAGCTAATGACTTTTCAATGAAAACAACTCAAGACAAGCGTAGGCCATGGTGTCCTGCTAATGATACTGAATTACTTGGAGAAAATAAAGATATGCCTGAGAATTAAGCCACTGGGATTCTGGATAAAGGAGAGCACTTGAAAGTAAACACAAACAATACCCTACCATTCAATATCCAGATGGTCTATACTTCAAAGTGCATTTTGA